GAGGCTCACCTCCTCTGAGCTGGGAGTGGTGGGATGGCAGCCCGGATGCCCCTACCTCTGTGCTGGAAGCATTGGAATGGCATCTTGGAAGCCCCTACCTCTGGGCTGGGAGCATGAAGTATTCTTAATAGAAGATACTTGTCAAACATCAGAGACAATGCTCAGAATGCAAAAGTATTTCTGATGTGTAAACCCACAGTTCTCCCACCATATGGTTCCATCACAATCTATTTTACAAATTAATAAATACTGAAAACAAAATTAGGGTAATATACTGAGACATCCAAGTTATCCCTTAACATTTTGAAGCCAGGATGTCAAACTCTGCAGGATAATTTTTCATGGTGGATAAACTTCAGAGGAGGAATTTCTAGGAAAGAGTTAGGTGCTCTTTTAGAGTTACATTTCTGATAAGAAACATATTTTAAAGCCAACATTTTATAAATGATGAATGTTTTGGCTGCAGCCCAGTAAATATCACTCACTACTTTCACAAAGAAATAAATTAGATATGGCAAGTTCTGAGAAAATGTCCATAATCCATATTTCTAATGGTCATTCATTTTCTTACTATTAAGATAGATTTTACTCAGCATGGTAAAAGTAAAGGTATATATTTTATGAAGATGCAGTACCATTTGTCATCTGCCTTGCTCCCAAATTTTATTTGTAATATTTTGGACACTCAACCAGGATCTGATTGCTTCCTGATGTTGCAGCACGTTTCAGACTTTAATGCACGCTTACTGCTGCACCAAAAACTCTTGCTTCCCCATACAAAAGGAATGAAAGATATAATGATCCAATAATATATTTTCTTTTTGGTATAAAACCAATGAAGAAGGGCTGGGGATGTAGCTAAGTGGCGACATGCCTGCCTGGCAAGCACAAGGTCCTGAGTTCAATCACAGGTACCAAAAATAAATAAGTAAATAAACAACAAATGAAAAAACTATTTTCACTTGAAAGGAGTTATTACCATATACCCCATATCCCACTTCACTTTATTCCACCCCGCCTCAGACATTAAATCAAAAATGAGTGAAAGAGCTGGAGAATATGCCATTTAATGAGGGAAGGAAAGAATCAGGACCCAAAACTGAGAGGGAGGTTAAGACTAGGACACAGACTCTACAAAGAATCAATGTAATGATATCCCATGCATTTCAAAAGTAAGGCAGATACACAGAAGCTACAAGCAAGAATCAAATTGAATAGGGAGAGAGGAAAAGTACAAGCTCTGAGATGAAAAATGCAGCAGTTGAGATTCTAGCAGGTGAGGCATTTCAGACAGGAAGATTTATGAATGTGAACATGTAAGAACAATATTGGAGAGGGATCTTTTTCAGCTGGGAAAAGGATTAAGAGATGGATGGAGAGTGGAAGGAGGGGAGGGAAAAGAGTTGAAAAAAGGAGAGAAGCTGAGTTCCATCTGCACAGGGAGTGTAAGCATCAGGTACTGCCCACACAGACTACCAAAAATTTTTAGACAATATATATCATAAAAAAGATACTAGTCAAATGAAATGTAAACAGGCACGTTCAAATCATGAAACTTGCTCCTGAGCTATTCCAGGTGACTCATGAGATATGTAATGGAGGACACTGGAGAGGGAGGAAGAGGTGTGGAGGAAGGATATCTGAATAATTTGTGTTTGAACACTCCCAAGTTTGATGAAAATTGCATACGAATGCATCGAAGAAATTCAATGAACCACAGGAGAGATATATCATGAGACCCTCGCTGAGACACATTATCATCACATAGCTCAAAATCAGTGAGAAAAACATCACTTTTAAAAATTAGAGGGAAAGGGTCCAGGGATTTAGCTCAGCGGTTTTGCCACCTGCTGCACAAGCGCAAGGACCCGAGTTCGATCCCTGGTACCAAAAACAAAACAAAACAAAAAATTAGAGGGAAAAAGAGGATGTCTCAGAAAGAGAAACAAAGTGAAGATAACAGTTTCTTGCAAGAACTGATGCAAAAAAGAAGACAATTAGCAATATCTTTAAACCAGGAAGCAAAATACCATCAACCTAAAATTCTAACACAGCAAAAGCACATGGAATGGGAATCAGAAAAAGAAGAGAGGGAAAAGAGACAGAAAAGGTATTTGAATAACCACATCATCTTTCTTAAGTGAACACTCCTCAGCTTTTTGCAAGCCTTGTTTAATTTCTAGAGATCTGTATAAGTGAATAATAATATTTTTGGCCTTTTTCTCTCTACTACTTCTAGAAAAATAGATTTTCAAACATTTTTACTTCACCAATATGGCAGAGCTATATCCTTACTGTATTATCCACCTGAAGTGAGTTTTAAGAAAACAATTATAGTCCTATAACTAAATGTGTGCTTGAAATAATGAAATACTCTATAAAGCAGATTATTCAGGGAAAAAAAGTCTTAGTTTGTCATATGGGCTGTGAATGACACAGGCATGGAAGAGCAACTCGTGGTCCCCTTGGGGTATGAAGAGGAATTCCTGAGAAAGGAGCTGGGTTTGGGGCATCACTTTTGTTCCCATTTTGAGCTAAATTTGTTTGCTTTTAATATGGGTCTGTATGTGTATATCTGTCTGCTTTCCTATTGTCTGACACCCTGAGCTTCCTTAGCATTAGTGATTTCTTCTCCCTTTAGAACTCGCTTCACTTTGACAGAATTCACAGAATTGCACTTTCCTAGGGAAAGAATCGATCTTTGAGAAGACACAGCTGTATTACAAGTGAGATATGAGAAGCTGTGGTTTCTCCAAAGCCACATAGTTTACTCATGGAGTCAGAACTTTCATCTGAATTTTAATACTCAACAAGTAATAACCAATTCATTATCTTTTTCATGTTTGTTTTTTGGCAGTGCTGGGGCTTGAACCCAGGGAGCTGCCCACCAGCCGCTGTCTCAGTCTTTAGTATGTTTTTGCACGTGCCATATGATTTCAATTATGTAGAAATGCTTACAGAACATTTTAGAATTCAAGCAAACAAGCATTGCTTTCTTTCCTACTTCTGATCATCTGATTTCTTACTGTGGGCTTTAATTCCTACTTGTGGAGAGCTGCAGGCTTTGCAGTTTCAAGGTGTTTGAGCTGCACTAATGTACTCTGTGCCCTCTGTCCCCACCCGGTGCTGCCAGTGCGACTTCAGGGTGCCCTTGAATTCCAGGACAGGTGGTGGCTTTCTCCACAGGGACCTGGCAGATGGCTGCCTTGTGGGGAGAATGTGGGGGCAGAGCTTTTGCGCCTGCACTTGGGAGCCTGCGGTCCATGTCCGTTTTGATGTCAGTGGAGATTCGCCTTCTCCAAGCTTTGCACTTGGGGGGGGTCTGTGCCTGGTTGAGGCAAATTCAGCCCAGTGCTGCATGTGGAGCATGCTCTTTGCCCTTAACTAGTTGAGAACAGCAGTCTGCTTTTTCCTTTTTTATTCAGTGATTCTAAATGGGAGAAAACAGCGAGTAACTTGATTTGTTCACTCTGCTTAGTGAAGACTTACCAGCAGCAGAGCCATTGCCTTGTAGTGAGACACAGAACTTTCTAAGAAGGTGGTGGAAGTGAAATCCAAGTAGCCCTCTTCATTAGAAATAAGCGGACAATAAAACGCTCTGCTAGCTGGTGACACAGAGTCTTCTATTGATTTATTTCTCCAGTAAGGGAATTCTGCTCCACCTGTAGGTCTGGGGGTGACTTTCTGGACAGGGAGGAGTGTGCTTTCTCTAACTCTGCAAGCAGAGCTGCTAATTCCATGAGTCTGGAGTTGCCCAGCCACCCCTACTAATGTGCCACAGGGTTCATAAATTTGGGTAAAGCGCAGAGCTGTGAAGTGAGCATTGCTGGAAGAAGCCAGGCTCCAGACAAAGATATGGGCCCCAGCTCACTCACTCTCTCAGCTGCACTAGGTGGGTGCAGAACCAAAGACCCAGTCTGTGCCCCAAGGGCTTTGTCCCTGGCTCCTCCACTGGAGGGGTCAGCAGTGTGCAGCTTCGCTCATGACAGATGGGCCTGATGCTCCTGAGTCTGCAGATCACGCGATCTGACCTGTGCAGAAAGCCCAGCCTGTGAGCAGTAGCCTTCACTGTACGGCCACGTGCATGCACGCAATTACTGCTCTTATAGGGCCAACTATGCAAATGTGCCTGTTTAGGAATGGCAAATAAGAAAACGTTTGATTTACCATGGAGACAATGTGTTAACTAGGGAAAACACAAAGCTAGGATTGTAGACATTCAGGTGGAGGTTCTTCTCTGGGCAGAAATGATGAGAACAGTAATAGGAGTACGGGATTATGAAGTGTAAATGCTGCAAAAGATACTGCATATATTGCTTTGATTCTCAAAATAGCCTCATGGTTACATGGCAGTCTCTACATATTATATAGGTTTATAATATGTAATATTAATAATGTATATATTATAGTATAATAAAGTGATACCTCGGTTTACAAAATTAATTATTTCTAGGATTCTGGTCACAAACCAAACTGGATGAGAACCAAATCAAATTTCCCCATAAGGTCAACATTGAACATAACCATTGAATTCGATTTGGTTCTTATCTAATTCAGTTTGTGACCAGAATCGTGGAAAGAATTAAGTTCCTGAAATGAGATCCCATCGTATTTATAATATAATATATAGCACAAGGAATCCTGGGTAAGAAGAGAAAAGCAGGAGGCATCACAATCCCAGATTTATAATATATATTATGTGAATATAATATATAGCATATTATATATATTATACTCAATTTATATATACCATATACTATATGAATATTACATACATGTATTATGTATATATCATAATATATAACACTTATTTTATATAATACATAACATATAATATATGTATATGTGATTTATTTTATATACATGTTGTTTCTATTTTTATGGTACTGGGAATTGATTGAATCTATGACCTTCTCACTGAGCTACACTGACAGTTTTTTTTATTTTTTCTTCTGAGACAGGACCTCACTAAATTGCTAAGTGACTCAGGCTGGATTCGAACTTACAATCCTCCTGCCTCAGACTCCCAGGGCAATGGGATTACAGGTGTGCACCAGCACAGTCAGCTTGGTCCTACACTTTTGTGATGAAACTGAACAGCTGAGTTCCGGGCACTTGTATCAAGGTGAACAGATGGTTAAAGAGCAAAGTGGACCCGCAGCCAAGCTCTGGAGACCCTGGACTGGAGACTCCCAGGGAACCACCACGTCCTCAAGGCATGAGGTGCTGAGTTGGACATTCCCTCTCTGAGCCTCAGTTCTCCAGGTGCCACATCAGAAGTCGGTATCTGCTCAACCTGCTGCAGAGCCCAGCATAAAGACTGTTACATGGGAGTTATCATGTGCTCAGAAATGCAATATTTTCCTGGAGTGCTGAATTTGTGGTTTTTATTCTGTCAGGATGTGATTTCCCAGGACATGAGAATATCTAATTTGATTATTTTAACCACAAACAATTCCACAAAAGTAATGTATTTAATGGGGAGAGACAATATTCTACTTCATTCAGTTCCAATGTTTGGTCCAATCAGCATTCTGAAGTTTTAGTATTTTGCTTCTGCTTAGTAGATTTAGCTGAAATGGATTCTTTTGGATTCTGATGATCACCTTTCTTCTTAATATAGATTCATCTCCTTCTGAAAAGTCCTTCATGACACCTTGAAAGAATGTAGTCGTTGACCAGCTCACCATGGCGATTCTCTCAAACCAGGCCAACGTCTATGACTTCTCCGACTCCAGCTCCAGTGCTAATTCCAGGTGCTTGCAGCCTTCTGGCCCAGCCTTGGCCAGATGGGGTGGAAAAGAGCATCCCCATATGCATATATTAGTCATTTTCCTCCCACTGGGACAAAATACCCAACACCCACATTTATAGGAAGACAGGTTTATTTTGTCTCACTGTTTCAGAGGATTCAGTCTGTGACCAGCTGGATCCAAGATATAAACAACATGGTGGAAGGGCCTGGTGGGGAACAGCAGGTCACCCCAGGGCAGCCAGGAAGCAGAGAGGGAAAGAAGAAGGGAGGAGCAAGGGACAAGGATGCATTCTTTTAGATTACATCCCAGTGACTCCTCCAACCAGACCCCTCCTCCTAATAGCACTTTTAGCCATGAATTTATCAATAGACTAACCCACTGAAGCAGCTAGAGCCACTGTGATCCACACCCGTTCTGAAAGCTCAACCTCTGAACACAGGGGACTTTGGTGGGGACATTTTAGATCTGAACCATGATAATGCTCTAGGCACCAGGGCTCAATCTACACTTTATTCATAGGAAGGGGTAACCCAGGGTTATCATATTCATGACTCTTTCAATGTAAACATTTCTGCTATATTTACTTCTTTCTTTCTTTGTTTATTTAATTTTATTAGGGCATCTCTGCAGTACATGAAGTTTACATTCATTTGAAGGAGTAGGTGTATGTACATAATATCTTGATTCTTTTTATTCTCCTTTCTCTTTCCACCCACCTCCCTCCCTCTTTCCTTCTCTAAATCTCCTTTCATCATTTTATTCTTATTGTTATTATTATGTACTTATATTTATTACATATAATGTTTACTTTCATTGTGAGGATTTGTTTCATGTACATGACACATCTTAAATCTTTTTACTTTCATTTGCCCTCCATCCCTCCCCTTCCCCTCTGTCTCCTTGACACCTTCCCATTCTCAAACAAATCACTTTGTTTCCTTCCATTAGTCCTTTATTTTGTTCTTTATTTATACTTTGCCCTATGCAAATCAGAGATATCATACAGTACTTTTGCTTGTATCCTTGATTTATTTCACTTAACTTTATATTTTCCAGGTGCATCCATTTTCCCACAAATGTCTCAAATTTATCTTTGTCAATACTCCCAAAACCAATATTTAGATTCAATGCAATTCCAATCAAAGTACAGCAGCATTCCTCGCAGAACTAGAGAAAACAATCGTAAAATTCCTATGGAATGAGAAGAGACCTAAATACAGCAAAAGCAAACCTGGGTAACAAGAGAAAAGCAAGAGACATCACAATCCAAGATTTGAAGTTATATTACAAAGCCAATGTGATTTAAAAAAAAAAACCAGCATGGTGCTGACACAGAAACAGAAATATTGATCATTGGAGTGCAATAGAGGAAGCAGAAACAACCCCACACACTTTCAACTATTTGATCTTCAATGAGGCATTGAACTGTTTCTGGTACAAGAAATAATAAAACTTATCTCATGAAGCTTAAATTTATTTTTCAGAAAGTTTTATAAGCTACCCAGATATAATATCAGTTCACACTTATAGAAATGTAAGACTGTATTGTTCAAATGAGGAATGCAAGGAGAGTGTTAACAGGCCTCTTTATTAATCAGAGTTCTCCAGAGAGACAGAGCATTAGGAGATAGATGATAGATGATAGATAGATAGACAGATAGATAGATAGATACATACATACATACATACATACATACATACATAGGTAGTTTTATTTTAAGAAACTGAACCCTGCAAATATGGAAGAAGCATATGACTTCCTGTCTGCAGTCTGGAGGCCCGGGAGAGCCAATGGTTTACTTCCTGTCCAAACCCAAAGGTATGAGATCCTGGATCACAGTGTCCCAGGACAGGACTGGGTGATGTCCGAGGTCAAACATTTACCTTTGACTCTGTCCCAGGCTCCACGCTGGTGATGTCCTCACCCCAGGGAAGGTGGGGGGTGGATCTTCTCCACTCAGTCGGCTGAGCCAAGTGTCCGTCCCTTCCAAGCGATGCCTCCCCAGCTCTCTGGTGCACCTTGTCTAGTCAGGTTGACACATGAAACTCACCATCACTGACTCTGGCAGCCCAACTCCTGTCCCATGTTTCTCTATGAAGACCAGTGGCTGCAGGGTTCAAGGTGAATGTCAGGCACCCCACCTCCCTAAGGAATCTGCTAGAACTTGCATGCTCCTTTACTGTTTCCATCTTCCCCTTCTGATGTTGAAAGCATTGTGTGGCTCACAAGGAGTGAAGAAGATAGAGTGGATGTCACCTGTGTGCCTCTGCCATGGGTACTGAAGCTCAAGTCAGGCATGGCACACAGAGCTGGCACCCTAAGGGGCCTCCACTTCCTCAGAGTGAATACTACTGACCTCTCATGGTGGCTACCTGCAGAAGGTGACAAGGTGTGCTTTGAACCTCTGCCCACATTCTTGAGAAGCAGCCATGTGCCTGCCTTGATCCCTTAGAATGTAGTCATGCTGGGGCCTTTGGCACACTGTGTCACCATCAGCACATGATTCCTGCATGACCCACCCGTGCACACCAGAATTCACCCTATTCTGTTAAGTGGATTTATTATGTTGTATCCTGTGTTCTACTGTGGAAATGCACAGTGGTAGATCTGTCCAGCCTGTGGAACACATTTGGGACTTTCTAGCAGGACTCAGGTCTGTGGCTTTGTTGTCTCCTCAGGTTGGCCAGGAGTTGGTGCATGTTCATCAGTGTCCTACCAGGAATAATTTGAGCAATAGTTGAGTAAATAAATTGTATTCTCATTCATTCCAACATAAATTAACTCTTGGTCTATAAAGACCTTATACTTCACGGATGGAGACAAAGGCAAACCTCTAAATACAAAATACAAGGGGATCCAAGTAAAAGCATTGCCAGTGTGGTTCAAAACAACATCCCAAATAAACCAGAACAGGGAGGTGGCATTGAGTGTGGATTTGGAGACACTGTTCCAGAGTGGGGAGCACCAATACAGTCCGCAAGGGTGGGGCTGAAGCTGTGGTCAGTGCTGTCTCGGGAGAGAAGACAACAGCAGCAGTTCCAAGACACCTCAGTTTTGGTTCAAGTCTTATAAATATCCCAGGATGCAGTCAGGTGTGGTGTTAAACACCTGTAGTCCAGGAACTCTTGGAGGCTGACATAGAAGGGTTACAAGATAGAGGCCAGCCTGGGCGACTTAGCAGCTTAAAAGGGCTAGAGATATAGCTCAGTGCAAAAGGGCCTTGGGTTCAATCCACAGTATGGAAGGAGGGAAGGAAGTGGGGAGAGGGAGAGAGGGCAAGAGAGAGAGAGAAGAGAAAGGGGGAGGGAGGAGAGAAGGAAAAGAAGGAGGGAGGGAGGAAGAAAAGAAGGAAAGAAAAAATCCAAGGATGACATGGTAAGGAACACCGGGAGGAATATCAGATGTGACAAGAGAACTTGAATGGCTGCCCGAGGGAAGTTTGTTTCTCAAGTGTTTGACATCAAGATGGGACAAAGATTTTGTGGACAGATGTCTGAGAGATGGTGGAATGCCTTCCAGGAAATCAGGAATTAACCTCTCTTTTGAGTAAACAACATTAGTCAGTTTTGCCTTGCTGTGACCAAACACCTGAGCAAAACAAAACAAAAAAGAAGAGGTTTACTTTGGCCCATAGTTTCAGAGGATTCAGTCCACGGCCATGGGCTCCAAGGCAGAAACATCATGGCAGAAGGGCCTGATGGGGGACAGCAGCTCACCCCATGGTGGCCAGGAAGCAGAGAGATAAGGGACATCTGGACAGGAAGGGGTCAGGGATAAGATACACCCTTCGAAGGCTTAATTCCAGGGGCCCTCTTCATCCTATTAGGATCCATGATCCAATCAGCCCATTGAGGTCTGAACTTATCCGTAGATTAGTCTATTTGATGGAGTTACAGGCTTCATGATTATTCAGTTCCTAAAATCCCATTGTGTGGCAGCCGAGCCTTCAACACCACAAAGCTTCTGGGGGATATATTAGGCCCCAACTACACCAATAGCCAAAGCCCGTGAGCTTCTTCCACCTTCCGCCTCTTTCCTCAGTCTTGCTAGGACTGATCTCCGCTGGAGAGGGACGTGTGAGGGTGGAACCTCAGTGTCTGCAGGAGTCTGGGACTCAGCCATATCCACAGCCCCATCTCACAGCTTTAACCTAACAAAGGGGCAGACACAGGGAAGGACACGGGGCTGGGGTGGGAGGCAAGGACCTCGGGGTCTGTGCCCTGGGACCACAGTCATATTGCAACACACACTGGCATCGTACTTCATGCATGACACAAGCACATTAACCCACATGTCCTCTAAGAGTCCTTCAAACCTGAAAATGTATGACATCAATTTAAAAACACATGAGTCACTGTTATCAAAGCCTGTTAAAAATTTCACAAAACAAGCAGTAGAAATGCATTTTTCTTGTTATTTTAACTTTTAAGTCTTGACCTGGAAGTGTGTTGAGCACGGCATATAGTAACAGTTCGAAATCTTACCCTCTTGGCTGCCATTGGAAACAAGTCTGGAAAAGAGTAAATGTATTAAACCATTATGAGCAACACAATGAACTTACATCAAAGGTGCAAAAATGGGCAAAGTCGGGAGTAATGTTTGTTTCTTCCTTATTACTCAAGGTTCCCTAAACAACTTTCTCTAAGAAATAATTCTTGTATTGTAAGCTAGAAGGACTGCTGAGAGTGGGGAGAGGATACCATTAATGATCACAAATTGAACCATGTGATAGATATTTCAGTTAAGGGTAACTAGTGATTTTTCCTCTCAAATTTCTAAATAGCTTTTATTTTCCCATTTCTCCAGGTAGAAGTTAAAATATCTCAGTAAATATCTTCCTAAGTGGTTGAACATGTAGCCTCCACACCAGGCATCTTGCTGATTTTTCTCTTTCTGGACAGACCCCATTTGAATACTGTCTGAAAATGTGAACATCTATATGATTTTGTCCTCCATATATATTTAAGACCCAATCAGTGTAAACCTTTTTTTAAAGCTTGCTATGTTTGCACTTTTAATTTAACATTAGTGGGACATCTGCAAGCTAATAGTGGCACTTCTCTATGCGCGGAAAACCCAATTAGGACTCATTCTGCTTCTGATTATCAGTCAGAAACATGCATGCACAAATGTTCATTAGAGAGCTGCAGAGAGCTGTGATAAAACAGCAGACGGCTGAATTACAGTATCTCTGCCAGTCCTCCAACACAGACTTATATTGCTTGATAAAAGACAAGTGACCAAAAATCCTCTGTATGCATGGAGGGCACCCAAGTGTGTTCCATTAGGAGGGGTATTTTTCTGAGTGTCCTAAGGGTCTTAAGTAGTATTTCACAGCATGATTTGGCAGACAAATGATAGACTGTGGCTTCAATTGTGGCCATGGTGGGCTGTCTGGGTTTGCTGGTTTCTCCCAGGCATGCTTTAAGCTCACTACGGACATTAGAGACTGTCTTGTCTGTTCTGCTTCTGGAAGTGGATGGGGTTCTCTACATGGCGTACTCTGTGCAGAATCTTAAATGTGGTGTTTTTCCACCCTTCTGCTATAAGATTCATGATGTTACACCATGAAATTTTCTTGCAGATTTTAGTCTGTTGTTAGTCTCTAATAGTAGATTTGATTTAGTTATTAAAGTAGTCCCAGACAGACATTCCAAGAGGACTTTGAGAGATCAAGAATCAGGATTAGTGTTCCTTGGTAGGGAGGAGGAGCAGGAAGTTATAGGACTTGCAGGATTCAGGTGCTGCCCAGGATAGGGCTTCTAAAGGGTCCATGTGGGGAGGGGCCCTGGACACCAGAGCCCAGCAAGAGGACATGGCAACTGTGGGCAGCAGAAGGAAATATGAGGAAAAAGAGCAAAGGGTTCTGTAGATGCTCCTTCCCCAGAACTATTGGTTTTGTCTACAAGTATCAGGTTCCCCCGGAAGGTAGGGTAGGTGCAGAGGAATTTCTTAGTGATGATGGAAAGACAGGGAGGATGGAAGGACTTGTAGGTTTTGAGGTTGGTTGGAGTGTTTTTCTGCAGCATTATTTTTTCCATCTTCTTTGGAATGAGATGATTTGTTGATAACGATTAGAATCTGGGTGACTTACTGAGTGAGCTAAAGTAGCCATCCTAAATGGTTGAAGGGCTAACTTTTTCAGTCTCTTTGCATGTTGGGTTTGAGAAATAGCCTAAGTATTTTTTTTAACTGTCTTGTGCTCCTAATTTGGCTTCCAGCCACTTGTACACAT